CCCCCCCCCTTTTCACTTGAGGAAGAAGTAGACCAAATCAAAGACCAAATCAAATCTATATTTAGGACACTGCAGTTATGTATTTGGCACATTCTCCCTGCCCCCTGCTCAGTTAACAGTGCCACATTGTAAGAGTTATCAATAACTTCCTTCAAAGAGCAAAGGCTACCTTCCTGTGACATTCTATTTTTTTTAAAGGTTCCAGTGTTTTATTTATTTTCTTTACTTTTTTTTCAAATGTTTTAAACAGCAATTGTAATTATTTCCATGTTCTTTCATTCTTGTTATGTGTCCCATTCCCCTCCCCCAACAGCTGATAAGAGAAATGTACAAACAATAATTCCTCTGTGTAAAGTAGTCAGATACGAAAGCACCAGGCAACTGAAACTTTAGTAACTCACTTGTCTCCTATATTCGGACATTGGATTGTACACCATCCATCCATTTTCAGAAAACTTTTCTTCATTTGCAAATGCAAAAAAAAGCTGTAGGATGTAAAAGAAGCTTATTACACCCAACTCTGACTGAAAGTGGCAAATCGGAGGGCTCATCATCAGTTATACTTAACATCCACCACAAAATAGGACTGACATTTCCATGCCAGCCTCATTCTCTCCATTTAAATCTGATATTTATACTGTAAAGCAAGAAGTAACAAACAATACAGATCTGCTCATGAAATAATGAAAATGTGACAATAGTTAAAACAAGTGACATAATAAAATTTACAAATCAAACTGCTGTATTTTTTTACTGTTAGAAGATTGAAATATTTTAAAATAATTTATATCAGTTTATTTTCCCTATCCTCACCAAATAAACTACTATCTTCTCACCCAAATTTCTCCGATAGATACAGCTGCAATTACTACATAAAATTTTAGACACTAAATTAAAAGCGTAAAAAGGTTTTAATTGCTATTCATTGCCATTAGGAAGGAACCTTCTCTCTACATTCCATTCCCAATTGATCCTTACTAACGGAAATCCAGTTTACTGTAAAACTCCATCAAAATTTAAAAGTTGCTATTGAAAATGAAACAAAATATGTTGCTAGCAGGTTACACTATTTTTCTCTTGCTTTGTTGCTTACTCGCAAGACTCATTTATACAACACAGCATCCTCACCCAACTTCCTCATACCTTTTAGCTTTCTTGTCCTTTCAACCAAATCCAAGTGGGCTGCATTACCTAACTAACCCCTTTTGCCTTGGTTTGTTTTTACACTTTATGATGAAAGCAAAAGTAATGTTTATTTTAAGGATCTCCTTCATTGAGAAAATTTGATTTGGTGGCTTGCAAATTCTTCAGATGCCAACTGGAGCATTAAACGAAATTGGTTTTTTTTAAAAAAAAAAAAATGCAGAGGAGAATGTGTTGTCTTGAGCTAACTTGAGCAACAGCAGCCAGAGCAGAAAGCATTCAAGAGCCCATCACAGCTCATTTGTAACAAAAAAAGCCGAAAGTCTCCTAGCTATTGAAAGACATTAAAAAATGAAATTGAATGCTAAACTGAACATCCCAAACCTACATAATTTTCACAGGCATAGACTTAACTTCGCAGAAAGGCAGAAAACCTGGCAAGCAAGAAAAAAATCATGGTTCTAAGGTGCCATGATTACTAAAGCAATGCTTCCTAAGTGCACCATCAGCCCAGATGGAGGTTTCTTTAGATGTTATAAAGGCAGACCCTAATTGCTCAAGGCAATTCTGTTTAGCCTAATGTGTTACAATGGTTTAAACAGCAAATAAACAGCCCTAATCAAAACACAAAACTGAATCCCTCCAAAAGGAGGAGTTATTTCCTCATGTATTCGAAATCTACAAGTATTTTAAAAGAACGTTACTGCTCACACAAGATACTTTATCCAACTAGTTTTAGAAACTGGAATTTTAAATTAAATCAGTATTTCAGAGCAAGAACGTTCATTGGCAGAAGTAAACAATGCATTCCCAAATTGTGTTTTCCGAATGTCTTCAACATTTTTAAAGGAGTAGGCCTTCAGTGTAAGTAAACATTACAGATTCTTTTGACTAAGTAAACTGCCACCAAGAGGGATGGAGGGAGAGATGAAGAAAGGAAAAGGAAAGAAGTGGACATCTATGTATCAGAAAAAAAAATAATGCCAGTAGAAATAAATGCAAGTATCAGAAGTTAAGCAGAAAAACTGAAAAAGGTTGGTTGTGTGTTTAAATTGCAAACTAGGAATATTGCTAAAGCGGTAGATTTGCTGAACTATTAATAAATAGCTGCACACAAGAATCATCCCCTCCTCCCCAGAGGAATTTGCTATATCCCAAAGAGCAACTATGCTAAGAATTCACCAGGGAACCAGAGACAAAGAAGAATCTTATAACAGTAGGAAACAGAAACACTGGAATCTTATCAGATCACTTAAAAGATGTCTCAAAGGCAGGAATATGTTACTTAAATTGCTACTTACTGCAAGTTTCCTCATGAGAACTTAAAAACTACCCAGCTTAAGCCCTGATCAGTAAAATACATGAGTTTATTAGAGTGCACTGTGATAGCTGTCACACAAAAGATTTTACTGATAAAAATAAAGAATGTTTGCTCCAAACTAGAAATAAAGAAATGGCAGCTATGCTGCTCATGTCACCCACAAAAGAATCCACAAGAAATCAGATGGAAAAGTGTATTTTGTTTTCACCTTTTAAAAAACAGAATTTACTATGCATGAGGAGGGGATGGACAGACTCCTTTCTGAAAGAACAATGTCCTAATATGTACAGCATGTTTCATTTAAAACATTTAGCTACAGCAGCTTTACTATATCTGCTACAAAGGCTTTGAGTCACACAGCCCACAACCATTAAAGTTGACAATTAGCTCTGTTGACATTCCAGGTAGTGAAAATTCCTCCTTTACTGCTAAAGAAACAAAATCATTAGTAGCATGGATCGACCAGCAAAAATCTGAAGTCTAACAAGTAGCAATGCTACAATGAATGCAAAGGTGTATGGAACAAAGTTTGGTCTTAGATTTTTTATGAGCAATTCAGAGAAAACTCCTGAAGTATACACCAACAAGAACAGCATTTAAAAATGAACAGCATCTAAGAACCTGCAGACCAAACATTATTTTTCTTCTGCAGGAGTTGATTAAGTTTTAACAAAAATGTATATACACACCTTTATGTGTGCATATTGTGTACAGTTAATCTGGTTACTACTGAAAGTCTTTCTCATTGTGCAAAAGAGATTAAAGATCTGAATCCTGCCCACACCACCCTCAACAGCCTTTCACTTAAGACCTTATATTTCAAGTCTTGAAATATTCTGTGATGATGGCCTTAGCTGTAGTCCAAGCTAAATGCCAGAGTCTGAAATACAGCAACATCCTCACCCTACCTTAGGTCCGTCTCTCACAACAAAACATTCTAAGCAATATATAAAGCACTCTCTTTTACTCTTCAAAGAGTAAAAATGCTTAATTTTCGACTCTGACAATCACAGCATGGTTGCATTCAACAATACACAGTTTAAAGTAATTTCTTAACATAAGATTTTCATACATTCACGTCTGCTTAAGTAGCTGATTAGATGAAAGTAAAATTTGTATATATATACATATATATACATATATATATATATATATGTGTGTGTGTGTGTGTGTGTGTGTATCCCAACATGACACAGCAGAAAAGCCCAAGTAGGAGTATTTAAAACTGCATACATTTATACTCTTTTCATATAATTCTATTTAATTTCAAACTACAGTTTAACTTCAGTGTAACAAGCAACTCATATTTATAACTATATACTAAGAATCATATACTTCAGCAAACATAAGATATACGCCTGGATACAATTGTAATTTCTTACTGCGTCAGTACAAGCCATATTTATCACACATTTGTATATTAATTTTATTTGTTAGAAACAAAATGTGATAATGAGCAATTTGAAATAATTTCTATTTAATAACATTCTTTGTTGAATTGAACCGTTTGTTATTCTGATGCACCAAATTGACAAACTCCACAATAGTGAACAAATGAATGTGATAAATACATATTTAGATCCCAGAAGGGTTTATTATAGTTCAGGTAAGCTTCACATCTGCATTAATGACTCACGTATTTCCAGTTTTGTCGTAAATAGCCCAAATTTACAGATTAAATGCAGTATGTTTGTGTCTATGTCTTGATTAACTTAACATTGCTGAAGCTTTCACATCACAACGCATATCATCTGAATGCAGTTCTACAATGCAGCAGGAAAAAGGGACAAAGAAATTACAGGAAGAAGAAATTCTGTCACAATATATTCTGCATTGGTTCTCTTTATCACTTGATGTAAGATTTGAGAGGCATTATCTTAGTAAAAATACATGGCTCAGTTTTTTGTGGATACAGGTTCCTTCATATTAGTGCCCCTCACATACAGACACACATCTCATGTCAGGTTGAAAACAGGGAAGCCACTTCACTGCCCACAGGCATTTAGTCTGGACCAGCTGGCTGTACATTTATATCCTTCAGAGTGCAGAGGGCAGAGGAAAGTTGGAGAAGCAAACTACAAGACCAGCTGTAGGAATCGCATGACCTCACAAAGCAGAAAAGCCCTGCCAACCTCTCTCAGTGCATCATTACACACACAGGCAAGCCTTTCAAACAAGAGGGTTTAATAAAAAGTCGGCTAGCTCTGCTTCATGCCTGCTTCACACATCTTTCCTTTCCTCCACACATCTATAGTATATCCCTGCTAAACCCTCCTCCACAAGCAATACCTGAGGTACTCTGAGCCTCCACCCTAACCTCCACTCATTCCTTTCTTTAGTCCACACACAAAATTCTATTCCCTTCTCTCGTCATTAATCCTGCCTCTCCAACAGAAAGCACTTCTCCACAGCTCCTTTTGCACCCAGTCGATTTTTTCAGGAATTCAATCAACTGCAGCTTCAACAGATGTGTCCGAATTTGACAAAAATGGTTGGAAACAAAAAAAATAAAACCTACACCCAAGAGACATTCAGGTTCAGAACAATACTGCAGTAAGAAAAAGTGTGGTTTGTTTGTGGGGTTTTTTTAGATCATGAACAGGCTTTTTGAAATCATGAACATATAATCAGAAAGCATAACTGTGGTTTATACAGGTATAACTGAGCCAACTCTAGATTACCTGCTCAATAAATCAGTGTTTCAGGCAACAAGCCTGAGATGGCCTCTCCTCTCACCACCGAGACCAGCTAGCCAAAAGCCACTTACTTGCACAAGGCACAGATTTACCTTAAATTATACTGATTACTGGCTTAATCTCACATGTTGGGTTCAAAGTGGGATAGTTTGCAATCACTTCCAATGTACTGACCATATCTGTTCTAAGTTTGATGAAGACCAGTGCTACATGTCTGATGGAAGCCCATCAATTCCTATTAGTCTATCAACTAATTAATAATCAGTTTCAAATTCTTTTTATCTGCCACAGGAAACAGAGAAGAAACCAAGGAAAGCATTAAAAAAGTAAGAAATAAAAAATAGTATAGCAAATCACCACTCAGAAAACTTATGGAGTGCAAGGCTTGGGACTTATCAATACCTGTAGTTGGTAAAACCAGGACATAATACATCAGTTAAGATCTTTGAAAAGGCAAATTAAAGCCTCTTTGCATAGAATGGAAATAGGGATTGCACTGCAGATCCATAGCCTAAAAAGCAGAAGTCTACTGCTTCACTTGAAGCAGAGGTCTACTATACAAAAGGCTTTCAAATCTTGTAATATTTTTGGTAAGCTACTTTTTAAGCTTCACTGTGCAAATAATTCTGTTTACTTCCTTGCAGGTGCTAACCAGCAATTTCAACACACACAGTCTCTTTTTCAGTCCTCCTACATGCTTGCCTTCAACATTCAATTTATCATTACTATTTTGCACACAAAAATAATATGCGATACACTGGTTGCTCACAACACAACGTAGTTCTGCGAGATAAAGGAGAGAACAGCTGCAATCTGACAATACAGTTTGGCAAGCAGACTATTTACAAATAGTTATATATTTACTCTGTTTATGGAATCATAGTACATAAATACAACTTCTGCTTGTACATGAGCATATAACATATATACAATTTATTAAATAGTTGACCAATCTTTATGCATTACAAAAGAAAGCAGCAAAACTAGAACAAGGTGTTACACACATGCAAAGAAAGTAAATTGTTTTTTCTATTCCTTACTTATTGTTTTATGCTTTTCATTTATTATAAATCACTAAGCTTTTACTCAGTGAAAAGACTGTTCAGTTTCTCAGTGTGTTTAAAAATAAAGATATCATTATACTCGCCTTCAATATGCCATTACTACAACTCAGCCAGTTACATCTTACCTATTCATCTAAAGACTAAGATCAGACAATATATTTAGACAACTTATCATTTGCAAATATGGTAACCGTACACCATTAGTGCACCAAGACAGACATAAGCCATTCAGAATGAAGCATCAAGTCAAGATGTTTTTTGCAGAATCAAGTTCTCCATCAAACAGGCCTCACTGCCATCCAAAATCATCTTTGTAGGTCCAATAGCAACACTGGTATGATCTGACTCTCAGACATTTTGAATTACCAGGATAACTAGCTACACCAGGAGTGGGAGAGGTCTAAGTCAGACAGCATGACTACCACTGTCTCTCATCAAAACTGGCATTCCACAGAGCTATCATGGTTAGAAATAAATATGTATTATGCAGGTATTACAGCAGCAAATAATCTTATAAAAATGATGACGTGTAGTTTCAAGGTAAGATCAGGAAGTGAAGCAGCTGCTAAGCAGAAACTAAACTACAGAGACTAAATATATCTCATATTTTGTGAAGTACTACATCTAATATGGGGGGGGCTGGGGTTTGTTTAAAAAAACCCCTTTTTTTAAAAACACTTTCAGCAATAATTCAATTAGCACAAGTTTGCAAATGCAACAGAGAATTATCGATAGCAGCTGCCTGTTCCATATCAAGTAAACTGTCAGTCAGATGAGCTATTAGGTTTTACATTATGTAATTGATTCAAGATCTGAACCCAACATATATCCAGACTGGAAAGAGACAAGAATTAGCTTCTGGAAGTAGGCACATAGGATAATGTTGAGACACAGATGAACAGTTGCAAACAGACCTGTGATTTATTACAGGCTCTCAAACACTGCTGTTGGGATAGTGATGGAGAAAAATCTTGAAAAGAATAAGCACACTCCACGCAGAAATAATGTTTTGGGCTATATTTATCATCCATTTGTCCAAGAATGATATAGCATGAAGAAAATGGAAGCAAGGCATCTCTAAAAGTTCTTGTTTAGGATCAGCTCTAAGCATATGGTTTCATTACAGATAAAAAAATCAGTCAGATAAAAATCTGACATACAATATGAAAATACAGATAAAAATTAGGACAGTAAAGTCTTAGATCTTTATTGTCCTGATACCTTCTTTCTATTGCACAGCTACACAAGCATCAGTGTTGCCAAAACAGCTGAAGATCAAGGATGCAGTTCCACAAGGTGGTCTGAGAAAAACGACCAATTTAACACTGTTAAAAACAGGACATCCCTCTCTTTTCTCTTCTGCCTGCTCCCTGCTCCACTCGCATGCTCTCTCTTGCACTGGTTCTGGTGCATACTGATTTCAAAGCAGGTTTCCTCAAAGTGGCACAAGACTAAGTCAGCAAACAGAATATTTTGTGTTGGATAAGTGAGCTGCATTGGCTTACCTGGTGATTATACAACTATCAGTTTGGTATAAGGGGAATAATCAACCACATGGCTGGAAAGTAGAAAGAAGGAGACCAGAGAAAAGCAAGAGCTCAGCATTTGAGTAGCAGAGGGCTGCCATCTTCACCCAGCTGTGACAAGAAGCCACAGCACGTCCTTTATAGAAGATCTCCTTGACAGAGCTGGCTGCACGGTCAGTGTTGGCCATAGGAGAAGGCAGGCATGCACTGCTCAGAGCTCGTGAAAGAGGCAGTCCCATCATTCCTCTTTATTCATATCCAACCACAGATGCCCCAACACCATCCTCACATTGGGCTAACAAGATTGAGGAAATGACTTAGGGTAAGGCTTATAATTTTTTCCTCTTTGTTTAGCTTTAGACCCTTTTCAGTTCCCTACCTGGTTCGTCATGCAGCCCCTAACTCATGCAGCAGGAAAAACCAAGACAGGAATGAACAACCAGGCAGAAACGCCCACCTTTGGCAGGATGAATTTAAGCTGCTTGCTGAAATGTGATGAAAGCACATCAAAAATATCACATACTTGCTTAGCTCATTTTAAAGTTAACAGCTCATTCACATTGTGGAAATAAGGTCAGTTGCAACTACATGATATAACATAGGCTCCCTTTATTCTACTCCTAAGTAATCATAATTTCTAATGGTTATACCCTGCTCCAGACATAGCTAAGAGATATACAGTACAAGCATTCTCCATGTTGTCACTGTCTTCAAGTCCTGTGCTTTACTGAATCTGAAAGCAAAATTTCCTCTGCCTTGACCAAGCCTTTTGTTACTGAGCATAACATTTGTTGGCAAGTTACATTCAAAATGTACATTCAAAAGGTCCACGGCATGTAACGATGAGCTTTACTAGGTTCAACAGGTGCAACATAAAGCAGGAAGTGTCCACACATTACTCACTACCATCACTAGACAGGAACACCAGATCCTTTTGGATGACAAAAAACTAATAGAAGCCACATCTCATCATGTTATTCAAGCCCTGTAGTTGGATTTGATACCATAAAAAAAAAAAATCCCACAAGGGACTCTCCTAAATCAGTTACAACTTAATCTGTCCACATTCACTACATGCAAATCCACACAGGTCCTCAATGTAAGGGGGGAAAAAAAAATTCTTCACCATGAGAACGATTAAATATTGGATGAGATTTACCAGAGACATGATGGAATCTACCTCAGGGAAATACTCAAGACTAGGCTTAACCATGCCCTGGATAACTAATCTAAGGCCCTGCTTGCAACAGAGTCCTGGCCCAGATGATGTCCAGAAGCCCCTTTTGACCTAAACTTCTCTATAATTTGATATTTCTACATTTAGCTTTCTCTCTCTTTTCCATTATCCTTCTGAAGTCCATATATCCTGCTATGTTTTCAATCATTCTCTATTGTAAGACGCATAAAATGCAGCAGTAAAGTTAGAGATATATTCACTACTTCTACAACAGGTTTTTTTGAGTATAACTCCTCACACCTACCCAAATGTAGAAATCTGTTTCATTTCTTAAGACCTATTCATCAACACTACAAAATACTCCAAGCAAAAGCATTTATTTTTTCTTATGCTTTCTTTCCACAGACTGTTTGCATACAGAATGCAAAACTTCTGCAAAGAAGTTTTAAAGAATTAAATGCTTACAGACTATAGACCATTGATTGACATGTATCTTTGCAAAAAGAAAATAAGATTCTTGCTGCAGCCTCATATACTCAACAACTGTCTGAACAAAGTTCTTAAAAATTCATAGCAGAACCCTCCAACATTTTGTGAAGAGATTCTTATGCAATTATTCTAAATGAAAGCACCCCAATAAAATGTAAACTGAATTTGGTAAAAGACAAAATAATGGATTTACTGAAGAGTTGTCAAAATGATCCACCCAGCACAGTACATAGATTTCGGCAAAGAAAGAGAAGATAATGCTTAGTTAACATGACTGTTGCTCATACATTATTTTTTTTTAAACTGAAATAAATCTGTGTAAATTCATTACTCTATTAGCTGCCTGTTATATTTTTCATCAGTTTCATCAATAAAACAAGTGTTATCTTCCCATGCCTTCTTTTCATGAAGTAAAACTCTTGGCGATTCATATTTATCATTGCCTTGGAGACTGCCCAGCAATTTAACATTTTCAAGAAATCAAGTCATGTACTACTATATTTCCTAATTAGGGAGGATAACTTGCAGTCTCTAGGCAATGAAATCTGTAAGGATCAGAGGTGCTCAGTAGTTTACCTGAAGGATAGCATATAGCATCCATAATTTTCAAATACATAGATGTAAGTGTTGTAAACGTACAAAATAAAAACATTAATTCTCTTCAGTTTATGCTGACACCAGATTCTGTGTTTATTCTTTTTAAGCAGCCATGATGTCCATTACTAGGTAAAACAGTTAAAATTAATTGGCAAGAACTCTGCATTAAGACAACTCAATAGTATAAATGATGTAACTTACCAAGTTATGTGACTGGGGAAAAGCATATTTTGTGAGAACTTCAAATATATCTCTTCTACTGTGCCCTTCTTGTTTTAATGCAAACCGTAAATTTCTCATATCCTAAAACAAAGGCATTATCTTTTAAGTGAACCAAAGCAGTAGAATACTTTTATCTGATGTACAAATGCTATATTATACACTAAACATGATTTGGAATCTGCCTGCGACACACCTCAAAACACTGAATGTTCAGTTTTATTTCTTATCTCATAAAATAGAACAGAGCATAAGAATTCTACAAATAAAGCAGTACCACATTCTGTGTGGTGCAAATGCTACTTTGGCATAAAGCCATCAGATATGACTATATCTGATTCACTAAAAAGTCTCATGGGCTATTGAAAGTTTGCAGGATGGGAGTTACTCTGTGTTTTCAAAATGAAAATTTGCCAACGATCTGTCTAGACTACACTGTCTCTAGCTATTTTCTCATCACCAACATCAAAAATAAGCAATCTGTGCATTAACTACTAAGAATCAAATGTGTATACATACTCCATTCATAAGACAAATAAAGGACCCTGAATTAGCCACTAGGAACTCCCCTACGACTATTCTTTTTCATGGCAACATGATTTTTTTGTGAGACTAAAGAAATAGAGATATCTGTTGCACAAGCTTTTCACTGCCTTTACACGTTACAGAAGCCCCATTTGAGGGGTTCTTCAAAGATTTTAGGATTATAAAAAAATTACTTTTAGAACAAATTAAATAATGAAGCACTGCAGGAATAATGCCCTAAAACAAGACTACTGTGCAAAACCTCTTGTCACTTAGTGATTTGGAAAGGAAGAGCAATCCCTCTCCTTGTATGCAGAGAGGACAGTTAAACAGTCCTTTATACAAAAGGTATTTCCCCCTCCAGTTCCAAAAAGCTCTTTTTAAATTAGCTTTGAGGAACATGTTTTTTCATTCCCATAACTAGGTAAGTAGTGAGAAAAGGAACCTTTAGATTTCACTTCCTATTGAATTACTGGAAAGTCTTACTTTGCAGGTTATATCTAATCCATAAGAGTTCTCTCCTCTGCTTGAAGCTCCTCCCATTTTTTCAATCCTTGAAATTACACCCAATGGAACATTCAATACCACAACTGGATCCTGCAAGGAAAGTTTGAGTAAGGAGAAGTTAATGTGAAAAGAGGACTCAAGCAAACTGTTCTTGTGCATTCTAGAATAGAAAGATGTGAAATACATACAGGAAGCAAAAGTGTGTTTCTGCATTTAATTGAGCTTCCCCTCCCAACATATCACAAAGTCTGTACAGTCACTCTACAGTCTTGAACATCATCCAAATTAACATGCAAGAAGAATACTTCATGCATAACACAGTATGCAGGGAAAAAAGGTGGCAACACCCTAAAAGATGCCTTCTGCTACATACTTCTGAGAATCTTTGCTTGCTAAGGCTGCTTTATTGATACACAGAACAAAGAGGAACAAAATGAAAAAGATGTTACTAGTAGAGCTAGGTGCAGTGAGAAAGACCTCAGTTCAAGAGTACTAAAACTTTATTTAAAAAAAACCCAACCATATTATGAAACAGATAACAAGCGCATTTTATTCCCTTTCATATTGCTGCATATCAAACACACTACTACTCCCCCCTCCCACACGAGGTTCTATTATCAAAGTATTTTCCTCTTGCAACAGCAAGGACAATCAAAATCTTGGTTTACTGACAGTCGTTTTAAGAAGTATTACACACCATTAGCTGCTGCCCTTGATCTATCACAGAATAAGTGTAAAGCGAACACCTATTAGAAAAGCTCCAACAGACAAAAGATAAAGGTATCAGTTCAGTGTGATTAAACTGTAATTTTACCAGGCAAAACCCACACTTTTATAACACATTTAGCTTTAAAGAACTTCCATCTTTATACCAATTTCTCAGTGGCACAAAGGCAATTACTATTTAGTCATTACACAATTAAGATATGGTTATTACAAACATTATAAACTATTTCAAGTAAAAAGCCTCCCATGCAATTCCACAAGCATACGTGTGCCAAAACTAAAGCAAATGAACTGGCCACAAAATAAATCAAAGGCAGTGGGGGTGAAGGGAAGGGGGTTTAAAGCCAACTCATCTCACGGAAGTAATTGTGGCTTATTACTCACATTTTCCACACTTCTTAGGTACAGCCTGTAGTTTGTGATGTACACTCTTCCTTTAACGGGGCCATTAAATGGACACATATAAATAACATCCTTGTCTGTAAGAAATGCAGCATTTCTTAAAGATTGCAAAAAGAAAATATCAGAGCTAAGGGCAGCATCAGTTAAGAAGCAGTAAAATAAAGTGAGCTGCACTCATAAAACCCACTCTGAGAGATGAATGAATTTGAAAAGTAATAAATCTGAATTCTGCCCACTTGAATTATTAAGAAAATGTGAAAGATTCATATACTAAACTTGCCCAAATTAAATCAACATGTTTCAGTAGCCTTGCCTAGTTGCATTTGTGCTGTTCTCCTTCTCAGCATTACATGGCAGAGGGCAGGACACAGCACAGCAAGTAGATTCAAGTCCTCTCTGTGATTACTGAACTGTCTATTCACTATCCCAGAACAAATACATTCTTCTGTTGATAGTATTCCATCTTTCAGTGCTCTGTAACCAATTCCGCATTGAATTACATAGTTCAAGTTGCAAAATGTTTAGGGAACCCACCATCCTGAAGAGAAACATAACATTTCAATTTGAGGCAATCAAATACAGCAGAGCCATCAGCAGTGTTTCAGCAAGGAGAGTAACAAAATGAGTACTAACACATACTACCCAAGAAAGATTTAACTGAAGCAATGCCATTAAAGACTTAAGTGAAGCACTACAAACCACCTATTTCTCCCTGTTCCTACATTTCTTTAGCCCAATCTACTTATCTGCCTTCCACAAGCATCCTCCTTCCAGGGTGCTGTCCTAAAGCACATACAATTTTCGTAAGGATCATATCAAACGTTCATCTTAGTCACACACCCTCTCCCTCATGCCTTCCCCATAACTTTCCTCATTGAAAATATAACTACTTCCTCTGAATCACCACTTTGGTGTCATCTTGGCCAATCTTGTTTACAAGCCCACCTAACATATCCTCAGGCAAGGGGGAAAGGAAAAGCTTCACAAGTAAGACACACCACTTTCAGTTGCATTCTGATACTTCAACACAAACTTCCACAAGTGGAAGGCTCCATTCCAGGAAGAGCCTCCATGAAGTAAGAAACCACTACACACAATACTTTAATCTTCCTTATGCCACAAAATTACTGTATGTAAAGGCTAACAAGCGCATAGTACGTGCATGCATGTGATGTTGTGTCAAGGAAGCATAAGATTATACTTAGTATAGTCACAGCTTGGGCTAAGGTTCCACACTACTGTACAAGAAATCAATACATAGTGGGTGGCATGTAGAATTCTCTTGACTTTGGAAGGCTTGGAGGAGCACTCATCACTAGACACATGCTACTTAAGTCTGTAGATATAATTATGACACATCTTGATTTGCAATTTCTTTGTATTGAAGCATCTGCCATGTGTGGAAACCAAGATTTTAAAGAGTTAGGATAAGCAACAAAAAGTCCCTATGACAATTACTTAAATTAATGACATTTTAGCATGACTTATCCCCATCCCCAGCCCAAATTACAAAACAATTCATATACATGTATATGCCAGACTCCTAAACATACGCTGCATTAAGCAGCTATACAGCAGCTATACCTGTAACTCTAGTCTCTCCTGGCAGACGAGGTATTTCTTCATTTTGTTCCCAGTTAGTTCCATCTTTTAGAGTCTGAAGAAAGAGAAGTACAACAGCACATTGTATTTTATTTACAAGTCCTTCAAGTTCCCAGTTAAAAAAAATCTTATAAGTAATTTCTCATGGGAAAGAACAGGTTTTTCCATGGTAGAAATCAACATACTGAACCAAAACAGGAACACACACCACTGTCTTAAACTGCAACTATTAAAAAGATTGAACAGATATGAAACGTAAGCACATTTTAGTCTTTCTCCTTCAAAAAGAATGGTTAAGTATATTTACATTAAATTGGAATTAAATTTCTCTACTGTAAGTTCTCTGAGAGTTTTGCACATTTAATTTTCCAAGTATGTCGGGCTTGGAAGAAAAATCAACTGAAATCACTTAAGCAACGTACTCACAACTATTATACACCATCTACTCATTTGTGACTTTCCCATGTTCAGTAGTTTTTAAGAATGATTAATAGAAAATAATATTTAGTTTGGAAGAAATGTTTAAAAAGCCAAACAAAACCTTAGTTTCTGTTTTCTTGAACACAGGTTATAGTTTTTCCTTCAGCCACACACATCAAAAAGCAAAAGAGAATGTAATTTAGATTGCTTTAACGTCTTTCCCACTACCAATGAACATTTTAAAAGTGAGCCAGCGAAACATAACTAGGTTTATCTTATCAACTGCAGCACAGTCTTTCTACAGCAAAGTGCCAAAAATTTTCAAGAATGTCACAAAATATTTCAATGTAGAAAGTACGGATAAGAGTAAGTATATTGGAATTGATTTTGAGGAGGCTCTCATAACTCGTGATACAGAGAGCATTTTGCCCATCCACTCTGAAAGATATTTAAATCAACTTATTTAACAGCTTTAGAATTTTAGCAATAAAAATAAGTATATAGATTCAAGAAAAAAGGCATTCAAATACTAATTTTTCTACCCAAATATGGAAGATAATGAATTCTCAGACCTCTAACATAAAAAACATGAAAAAAATTACACTCACCCTTTTACTTGAAGAACTCTCCAAGGAGTTTGAATTATATTTAGGTGTTGATGATGAGGCCATACCGGGTATCTGATGAGAAAGCACAAATTGGAGATTTAAACTTCCTCCTGGACTACTTATTATTTATAGGAGATATTTTAGACTTTGGAGGTCCACAGGTAGACATCAAGAGCTTCCAAGAATGTTTTACGAGTTACTATTAATTTAAAAAAATTACACAATGCCTTGTATTGAAGGTCACTATTTAAAAGCATCCAAATCTAACACGAAATTCATTACTAGCTCTCGGATTGGTTCTTATTATAAGGCGTATTCTGACTCAAGCTGTATTTTGGAATTCAGCTGTTTGAATACTATTATTAGTTCGGTCAACAGACATTAGAGTGCTTGTTTTAAGTGACAGGATACACATACTATGAAATGCAACCTACTTAGGACATTTGTATTAGGACTTTTAATTTAGGAAAACAGGAACAAACTAAAAAATCATTGCACAGCTCTTGAAATCTCAAACAAAAAAAAAAAAAAAAAAAAAAAAAGGAGAAAGAAAAAAGCAGGAGTTCCACAGTACTTCTACATTTAAAAACAATCCCCCATTTCCTAGACTGAAACTTCAGTTAGCACACCAGAAGGGGGAGTATCCAGCCATCTGAATAGCCTTGATATGTTTAAAGGAAAAAGATTTTTATTTTTTTTTTAAATAGTATTGATTAAAGACAGAACCGCATGACACAGGATTCATCTTCTTTATCATTTCCTCACATTGCACAAGGAATCTCTAGAACAAACACTGAGAAAATGCTCATACTTGAAGTTTTACTCCAAACAGTAACTTCACACCAAATTATACTTCCCTTCCCCTAGTCACACGCCCCTTGTCGAGCCAATTTGACATCGTACAGCAATTCTGAAGAGTGGTTGGTCGCATGGTTGGGGTGGGGGTGGGTGATTACAGACCACACAATCTTTGTTTCTATTCCATAAATGAAACCTTGCAGACTTAAATAAGGACTTTCTCCTCTCAACACTGAAAAAAGTTCTCAGGTCTCTGTACCATGACAAATCAGCCCATGCTCCTGCATAACAGTGGGCTCACAGTGACCCTGCAACAGTCCTCCACAAGTGACTGCTATAGATTAAGCTGCAAGATCTAAAGTCCTTTACGTTATTGTAACAATACAGGCATGTGTCTGTGCAAGAAGGTGTAAAACCACGACCTCCCTACAGTGCCCAAGTCTTCCATATCTCATACAGAAAACAAAGGAAACCTGACACTGTTTAAAACTGCAATATTCAGTGATAAAAAAAAAAAAAAAAAAAAAAAAAGGAATCCACATTAATTTGAAAAATAAAAATGCTTTTGAATTCCACCTAGCCTGTGTGACCACATCACACAGAGGTATTACTTCCCTTCTGGGTGTCTGGCAGTCTCAGTTTTCTCCAAACACTGAAGGGTCCTGACCTAATTTTAGTACAACGTCAACAATTTAAATGAAAAACTATTAGCAATCAACATTAAATCATTGTTCTTTCAAACTACCTTCCACAGAAAAACTATTGCAACACTGGACACTAATGTTTTGACTATAAAATTCAGAAGATTGAGAAGATATTTTCACAGTTTTTTATTTCTTGCAATGTCTTGCATAATATAAAACTTCAGGTAATTTAACTTTTTCTGTATTGCTATGTTAACTTGTGAGCATCCAGTATTTGTTCAGGTGACTTTCCTTAATTTATAGAAGCTTAAGTTTTCTAATAACCAGATATTTATAAAGGTAAAAGGTATATTTACTCAGAAGGTTGGTTTAAAATGTTTTCCATATGAAGTGGGTTTTGTTCATATTTTATTTGAGAAACATCAGGTGAGACAAAAGCACAGCAGCCCCAGTTTTTCTATGTCAGCATGGAAAGTGGTTTTAACTAGAGCTCACATAAATTTCAATTAAGGCTGCACCAACCATGAGAGAAAGTGAGCATAAATAAGCCCTAGAAAAGTGACTTTTAAAAGAAGATGTGGCAACCCTGAATAGAATCACACTGCAAAATGGAAATTTTGGCTGCAGCAGGTACAGGCACACCCAAAATAGCTGTTGATCTTGCAGCCACAGCTACTCCACCAGTGAAGCCACAGGAAGACAAGCTTCAGCAGAGGTCACACCAGCCCACCGAGGATCCTGGACACTCACCTCAGTGCCAACCAAAGCTCATCAGGATGAAAGTTTGGACATTCCTTATGCCTTTCAATACTACCTAGCGTACTTCTGCTGCTGACATAGGGAATGGTATGAAGTGTTTGAAAAGCCTTCTGTCTCCTCCTTTGCTTTCTGTATTATTTCCTCACTCCACATCCACTAAGTTTTGGCTGAACTGTAGCATTACATGAAATAATCATCTGACTTCAGAACACTGACTATAACTTTTCCAAACCTCAGTATAAATTATAAGGAATAATCAGAGATCCTTTCAGATTCGCAGGAAAATTTCTCTTTGTAGAACCTTACAATACAGCAGGACAGAGCTCGCCTCCCCTCCACCCTGCCACCTCCCTAGGCCACTTCAAACAAACAAGGTATCTGTGCAGCTCTTGCAGCAGACCTTTGTGTGCGTGTTTCCGTGTATGTTATGTTTATTTCGTGTAAAATTCCCCCAATTCTCCCCAAGACCAATTTCTTTAAACACACTTTACAGCAAGAATGTATTCACTCACTAACTTTAATTTCTATAGAATATTTCATTATAGAGTTACAACCATCTACTGCCTAATTTCCAACACTTTAATGATGCAAATTAGACTTATTCAGAGCTAAGTTGAATAAATATGTATTGAAGGTAAGCTATCTGTCAGATTTTTTTTAAAACCCAAACATTTTCATTAAAATTAATGCAAGTTAAATCCAATCACTTTAAATATCCAAATACTAATAATCACATTTATAATCACACATATGTCCCTGATTCCTACAAGTAAACTATGGTCAAGTAATTAAACTTCACATTACAGAACACCCATTAGACAGCATTCTGGAACAGTGTCCACTTTTGGACCTCAGTACAAGACAGGCATTAACAAACTGCAGCAAGTTCAGCAGGGGACCAGGCCCTGGAGCGCCTGCCCTGTAATGAGGGGCGGAGGGAGCTGGGAAGCCTTCAGCCTGAAGAAGGGACAGCTTCAGTGGGACCTCACAGCTGCCCATCTCAGGTGGTTGCTGAGAAGACAGCGCCAAAGTCCTCAAAGTGGTGAGTGATGAGAGGACAAGACACAACAAGAAAGCGAAACAAACTAAATTCCAGCCTGATTTAAGGAAAAAAAAAACCCACAACTTTTGCACTATAAAAGCAGTCAGACAATGAAAACAGAGCCCAGGGAGGCTTCGGTCTATCCTGCAGTTTCTATCCTCAGAGGTTTTTAAGACCCCAGTTGAATAAAGCTTTGAGCAACTGGGTCTGATCCTGCTTTGAGCAAGGGGTTGAACTAGAGACCTCCTGAAGTCCCTTCCAACGTGAATTACTCGCTGTTTCTGTGATCTTTAGGCAACAGACAAGATAAAGCTCTCATTTAAAAGTACCCATCAAACAAGGGCACACCCTTAAGGAAGTGGACTCCTCTGTATCAAAAGAGCAAAGAATTTTTCAGAAACATTTAAAATGAACACGAAGTAGTTCCTTTTATAATATTATTTCTTTTTCTGTCAAATTGTAGAAAAAGCTTCTGGCAACCTCCTACAGTAATATTGCCACGAACAATTCAAAAACACACTCCATCATAGTCTTAAAATACCTACAACTTTCTCATTATCACAGAGCAGCAGTAGTCCTTCCACACAGGGAAAAAAAATCTTACAAGTAGTTTTCCACTGCAAACACATTTTATTCCCCAGTATCACCCATACGTACTTCTATACTTGCACAAAAATGGAAAACCATACAAACCCCATGCTTGTCAGCAGCTGACCAGAAGTACAATTACTCTGCAAATTTAAAGCAAATCAGACAACTTTGTTTATGATATTCTGCAGTTACAAACAGTTAAACATTCTTCCCTGAATCTAGAATAGCAAGGAGACAAAGCAATTTTACTGGATTTAACTTGAACTAATAAACAAAGCTTTGTTAAAGTTACCAGAACTTAATATAGTAACACTACCAAGAAATGTAGGCTCCAATAATCTTACAATAACAATTAAACGACTCAGGATCTGTATTTTCATTAAAGATTATATTTATATTTTTGCTTCCTAGGATTCATGGGAATGGAGGCACACTGACATCTGAAAGGGTTTGCACTGGAGGCCAGATTTTAAGAAGTCAATTCAAGGACGTTATATGCTCTTTATGAATAAATGCCGACAGACACAAGCATAATGCCACACAAAAAACCTAAATAAACCTTAAAACGTGTAAGCAAGTTTTTGAGGGTTAAGAAATTACCAGCTACTCCTTCCTTAAGGTTCTTCACTGCCAAGAGGTTAGAAGGTGTGTACAGTGCACCTTGGAAACACCACCAAGACTCTTATAAACCGCGTTTAGATTGACAGCAGCCTGGTGAAACTAGTTCTCATTATTAGTGACACAGGAACAAATTAAAGCTCATTTGACATTTTCTTAGTCTTTTTAAGGCTTCATCTTCACATGAGAATCACACCAAATAATTTTTAACTATTGTATTGTATAACTGAGCCATGCTTGCGTCAACCTATAAAGAACTAGTTTGTGCCCAAACACAACATAGTCTGCATCTGCCAAAGGATTACTACCACAAACATCTGAGGTAAAGTAAACAGTATCAAGTAAATTGGCATCAGTTTTCAGATACTTTATATTTTTGACCCTCCATCGGTGGATTAAAGCTTTGGCAAAAAAACACTTCCAAATTTGTACCTGTATCAATCATTTGGAGCAAGGGTAATTTTGACAATACAATGCAAAATGAAGTTTTTAACTCTGTATGTTCTATATTCAATATGTTAATCTGGAAAGATTAAGGAAATTAAACTGCTAAATTACCATACACAGAAGATATTTACAGAATATAATGAGGTATATAAGAGGTAAACATGATGAAAAAA